GGCGCGCGCAGCGCGGCGAGCGGGCGCGGGCGCGCCGGGACGTGACCCTCGTGAGGGAGCGAGCACCCCTCAGACCCGCTGCCGCGGCTGCCGCTGGGCTGGGCGGCCCCCTTCGTGGGGGCTGCGTCGGGGGCTGGGGAGTGCGCGGCAAATGGGTCCTCGAAGGCCGCCAGAGCCTGGCGGGCGGCCGCCTTCTGGGCAGCAATAGCATCATCGGATTCAAAAGCAGGCAGTGTCGTCTGTTGCTGCTGCTGCTGCTGCTGCTGCTGCTGCTGCTGCTGCTGCTGCTGCTGGGTCGTCTGAGCCGCCTGTGCCTCCTGCAGCCGCTGCACCCGTCGCTCTGCGCCGGCGGCCGCCCCCGCCGCGCCGGCAGCCGCTGCCGCCTGCGCGGCCGCCACCTCCTCATCCACCACCTCCTCAGCCGCCACCTCCTCCTCCTCCGCCGCCGCGGAGTGGCGCAGCTCCAAAAAATGGTGCAACTCGGCGTCCAGAAACTGCTCCAGCCGCGCAGCCTTGGCAGCCGCGTCCGCGACCGGCCACGCCCCGCCCGGTGCGGCGGCCAACGCGGCGCGTGGTACGCGTGTGGGCTGGTGAGGGGGCAAGGGGCTCGGAGAAGCTGAGAGGAAGCTGTCAAGTCGGAGGGCATCCCTGAAGCTGAGTGGAGATTCGGGGAGCAAGAAGATGCTCTGCGGGTGTTGAGGGGGGGGTGAGGGGGGGGTGAGGGTGTATGAGGCGAGAAGCGGTACGCAACGATGAGTGGGAGCGCAGCCCCAGACTGCTTGCACAAGCGTGACCACAGTGAGTGCTGCAAAGCTGCGTGGCCCAGCCGCAGTGGCCGCATGGGCCGCGCCTTACCATGACTCTCGCCGGCTCAGGCGTGCCGCCCGCACTGGCACCGGCGCGGCTGCCAGTCGCGCCCGCGGGGGCCGGAGCCTCCTCAACTTCAATCTCTGGGTGGGAGCTCTGCTGCTGCTGCTGCTGCTGGCTGCTGCTGGGCTGCGCCCCTGCAAATTTGCACCACGTGGGCTGGCGCATGTCCCAGGCATAGGCATGCCGAAGGTCCCCTAGCCCCAGTGCTGCCGTCGCATCCCGTTGGCTCAGCCGTTCCAGGGCAGACTGCGCATCGGCCGCCCATGACACCGCGCGCGATGCAAGAAAAGCGTCGACCGCGGCGGTCTGATGCAGGATTGTGGCGTCCAGCTGCGCGTCAAATGCGGCAAGCGACTGCGTCCGAAGCATGGTGCCCTGCGCTGTTGCGGCTCTGCTGCCGCGCTGCACCTGGCACGCAGCCTGAGAGGTCAACTCTCGTACAACCTGCCAAATGGAACAAAGCGGGGATCAGATATCGACGTTCAGGATGCACATATGCGGGCAAATCCACCCAAGTGATGAGGAGGCTGTACCACGCGGCCCGCATCCTCAGGGCACGTTGCAGGTCGAGCATGCATGAGGACTTACCGTTCAGGCTTGTAAAACTGGGCCTGCTGCGTGCTGCCGACGCATCGACCAGGCCGGCAACCGTGGTTATCTCCAGAGACACCGCATATCGGCTCAAGTCATGCGTTGTGCGCTTGAACTGCTCTAATATTGAAAGACGTGGGAGAACGCCCCGTAAGGCCGCTGGGCTGAATTTGTTTACGTGACGAATTGTGTAGCTGGTTGGCTGTACAGCGAGAAGAAACACTTCAAAACCTGGATTGATACTGCAGATATGTCAAAGGAACGGTCCAGCAGAGAATGAGGCGTGGGATGTGAGGCGTTGTGGATGTCAACGCTCGCGCTTGAGGACTCCGCACAAGGTGACAGGAGCGGCGCTGACGGAAAGGGGCACGCAAGCTGTGATGCATGCATCATAGGCTGTGGGCTATAATCCACCAGGCTGGTCCATAGACAGAATCAATAACACCGTCTGGCACGCTGTGCCAGGTGATTATCTGGCTTGCGGCCTCGTGAGCCATCAACTCGCAAGCCGGGATTACGCACCTCTCAGCAGACCCCGCCCCACCCACCCACTGCCCCCAGGCGTGGGGCCGCCGGCAGCACGCGCCACCTGGCAAGCACCACGTCGCTGATCCCATTAGCTGGTGCTTACCAACCGGTGAGTCTCGATTTTGTCTGCTATTCAGTGGAATCTACAGAGGGTGAGCACACCAGTGCTTATGGGTCAGCAGGACAATGCAAGGGGCCAGGGGACAATCAACACAGATCCGAGGGTCCGCATCACATGCCACTCATGTGGCATACAGGGCGTTGAAGGCAGCTGATGTTGTTTACAGTCTAGTGGCTACCACCCTCGCGTGGGGGTGGTCGTCGACAGACATTGACAAGTTGTTTGGGCCCGTGTCTGCAGGTGAGCTGGGGGCACCCGGCCTTATGGGATGCGAGATGCCTCGCTTACGCCCCAGGCCCACGCACCGCCGACCCTCATTTTGTACTGCCTCCCCACCTGCGTGTTGCCCCTCGTCGCGCCCCTGAGCGTTGCAGCCACCGGAACGCAGGACAGGCGGGGCGCTTGCGGACTTCCCCCCGGCTGCAGCTCTGAATGCCGCCTTGCTGCTCGCGGCACCCGGGCTTGCTGCCCACCTCGCAAAACGCGTTACCACAGGCGTGAGCCGATGTCCGTTTGACATGACAACAACATTTGAGTTTTAGGAAGATTGCTCAAGCCTGCACAGCACCAGGCGCGGCCAGCGCCCGCGGGTCGCCGTCCTCAAAACCAGCGTCCGCCGCCCGCCACATCAGCGCGCGGCCCCCTCCCCGCTGTCACCGCCCCGCGCCGCCCGCCGCCGCCGCCGCAGCCACTGCCGCCGCGGCGCCGCCCAGGCGCAAGGTGCCCGGCTCCGCGCCGCCGCCTGCGTCGTCGTCGCCGCCGCCGCCGCCGCCGCCGCCCCTGGCGTTCGCCGCCATGCGCACCACATCCAGGATGTTCAGTCCCAGCGCGCCCGCCAGCGCGGCGACCACGACGACGAGCATCAGGTTTGGGCCCACCCTGTCGTCCACCCTCTTGTGCCGCATGCTCGTCAGCCGCCGGAACCGCCAGCGGTACACCCAGATCGAGTACGCCACCAGCACGCAGCTCGCGGGCAGCAGGCACAGCGCGGACTTCTCCGCGATATGCATGCGCGGCGGGTCGAGCGGCGAGACGCGGCCGCGCGCGCCGACGGCGAGCATCAGAACCGCTGAGCTGGCGAGGAGGATGGCCATGTGGAGCCACTCCATGAATGCTGCCTCGTTGTGCAGGAAGTCGCGGCACTCCAGCAGCTGCACCGGGTGCCACCGGGGGCGGCTGCGCGTGGCGGGCGGGCGGGGAGAACGGGGGCAAGGCGGGAGGCGGACGGGCGGTGATGAAATCATGAGGGGCAGGCGCGACCGAGCGGCGGCCGATGGCTGGTCAGCGGCATAGCGTTGCGCGGGACAAATCTGGACGATTACGGCCGGGGAGTCGAGCACCCCTTGCTGGCTGGCCGCCCAGGAAGGCATGGCCGACTATGCCCCTGGCTGCAGGCGCCGAGCGTCCCGTGGCAGCCGCACCTGCGCCGCAACCCTGCGTGCGCCATAACCCCGTCCTCCAGCGCCGCCGCCTCCCGCTTCGCGCGCCGCCGCTCCATCCGCCGCCGCAGCGCGCCGAGCGCGCCGCCGCCGCCGCCGCCCCAGCCGCCGCTGCCGGCCGCGGCCGCATCGGCGGCGGCGGCGCCGACAAGGCTCGTGACACTGCCTCCCACCATCACCCCGCGGAGAAGGCGCGCGCCAGGGCTCAGCGGCTGGCGGCCCGCGCCGCCATCATCA